CCTCTTAAGAAACAAGTAAAAATAAAGGCAAATACTAATAGCCAATTCAGGGATGCTCTTACGTTTACTATGACGATATATAAAGGAATAGATAGACCTAAGTATCAGATTTGCTTTCCATATATACCTATTTCTTTACCTGCTTGATATTGTAGCGCATCAACCCTTATTTAGTGTATAAGAGGCAGCTACAGCCATGTTCGATAATCACAATTGTTTGCAGCGAGTTGAGGCTGCACAACTCAACGCATTCCGGCGTTTGCTTTGTTGCTGTTGCTGCTGTCGTCGATGTTGCTGCTGCTGCTGTTGTTGTTGTTGTTGTCGTATAACTCGCTGTTAGCTGGGCACAGGAAACATTGGAAAATTGAGCATGGAAATGAACGCAAAAAAAGCACAAAAAAACTGAAAACAGAGAGAAAAAAATCGCCAGCCAAATGGCAACGGAAAACCTCTTCATTCAAGTCGTCCGTCTCCGACTCCAGCTCCAGCTACAGCTCCAGCTCCAGCTCCGCCTCTGTCTTCGTCTTGGTGGCTGTCTCATTTCGTATGCGCGAGGCGTTTGCCTGAGAGGGTACATTCCAAGGCTTAAGCCTGGCCAGAGTCTAAGTCAGCTCAAACGCCAGCACCGGCGATTTGTTGCTGGCCCAAGTGGAGCAATTATTGCAACTGCAACAGCAGCAGCAGCCGCCGTTGAAAGTTTTGGCATTCGGTGTGTGGGGTAATGCATCATCATATGGGGGCACGCCTGGCCTGGCCTGGCCTGGCCAAAGCATCGACATCGGCATCAACATTCACATTGGCACCACATTCAAATCGATTTGGTACGCATCTTCCTGCAACATGTTGCGGAAACAGCAACAGCAACGCAACACAAGGCGATTTTGCAGCAACAGCGCGCCAAATTGATTTGTTGCTGCTTTAGTGTTAATTGCCAGACCACGACTAGACCGGGCCAGAGCCTTAGCCAGAGCTAGAGCCAGAGTCATAGCAGTAGAAGAAGGCGTCATCAACATGGTCGTGTGGACATGAACTAACTGTAACTGCATTCAGTGGCTCAGGTGGTTGCTGATGTCGAGAATGTGGGGCACTAGAGTTACGAGTGGGCGTTTCACAGAGACATACACACATGTATGGCAACAAGCGGGAGTAGAGAAATAGGGGGGAGTTACAGCAACTGCATTGCAATTATGAAGTACGTGTTCGAATGCGTCGAAAGCTCACAAATTTCTAATGATGATATATTGCAGCTGGTGCTGGTAACATTGGCAAGACTATCAAATTAACAAGATCGTCGCTTCCGGCGTACAATTGCTGAACAGCAACAGAACCTAGGCAAGCAAACAGGCAGGCAGGCAGCCGGGCAGGCCAGGGTTGGAGTGCAAGGAGTGCGGTATTCAATTGACTTGCGCATTAATCTTGGCGCTAGACTGGACTCGGCTTGTTGCTGCCGGGTTTCCCACAACGGCAAGACACACAGCACACACGAAATTTATGCCAAGTGGCGGACGGGCGACGAGTGCAGATTTCACGTCAAAACTCATGGGTGTACAAATGCATCATTCTGATGGTCATCATCAGTCTCTGCCTATCAAACAATCGACAAAACAAACAGCGGCAGCAGCTGCGGCGGCAACATGTTGCCAAGACATTGCTCGTTGGCGTTGGCAACAATTACCCAGAGCTGGACTCAAAGCCAGACCCAAGCCCAAACCCTGAATGTTTTTTGTGCGACAGTTTTGTGAGTGCGAGTCGGCGTACGTGTGTGTTTGTGTGTGTAACTGCTGACTGCTACAAATTTCAACGTCGCACAAAAAGTCAGCCACGGCAGCAATCTGCACTTGAAAATCTAACAGCAGCAGCAGCAGCAACAAACACCAAACACAAGGAAGTGGCTGCCACTGAGTGGCAACCTGTTTCTGCACTTGACCATGCACCATGCCAACATGTTGCCGAATTGACAATATCGTTGCGCATGCGCAGTTGCCGCTGCCGCTGCTGCTGTTGTTGTTATTGCGGTTGTTGTCAATTGTCAGTTGGCGCAGTTTTCCAACCACGTTGCCTGGTTTATGCAAATTGCAGCAGCCAAAGCGCTTCTATGGCCATGACCACTGCCCCAGCTGAAGCTCAAGCTCAAGCTCGAGCTCGAGTTAGAGTTCGAGTTGCAGTGGGCGTTTGATTTCAATCGCTAACATTTTCACATATCCATGGCCATATGTTGCTGGTGTTGACGCAACGGGCACTCGTCCTGCAGCTGAGTGCAGTTTATTTTCCTGCATCTTATTCTTTTTTATTAACGGTTTGCCATTTCGATTTTATGTTTAGTTATATTTTAGCTGGTGCTCGTTATTTTTCATTGCCCCGGCCTCATATTTGGCCTCTTGATCTCACTTGAATGCCATTCCCCCAATCTCGTCCAGACTTTATTAATAATCATTTTTCACTGCACGTCCCATTTTCGGGTGTTGATCTGTTCCTACGCATACAATTTGTATGCCAGACCCAGTCGATCGCCAAGTGTTGATACACAACTACTCCCCCCCATTGACAGCAGTGCCACCGCATACCATTTCGACCCCGCCTCGTCGGTGGCCTATCGGCTCTATCGGCATTTGTTCGGTTATCATGTAATTTGATCTTAATGCGCATCGTGTTTATTTATTCTCTCTTTTTTCCAAAAAAAAAATTAATCCTCCACACTTGTGTTGAGTTGTGGGCATGGAGAGACGGGGAGCGTAATATTCAATCGATTTATCGTGTGGTTGTTAGCTGTCAAGTGGACGGCATTAGGCCATCAGCCAACGATGTCAGCGATGTGACATTCCAAATTGGGCATGCAAGATTTGGGTACGTGCGTGAGAGTTGCCCTATAGATACCTACGGACAGTCGCGTGATCGTTGCGATCTGGGCTAATCAGCTAACGCCCCTAAACAGTTAACAGTAAGATAAATGATTTCTATTTCATTCGTATTATTTTAAAAATCATTTGAAGCTGATTCTAAAAGACAATTACACCACATTCCTATGTATATCCTGCATTTTGTATATCCTATGACAAGATATTTTGCCTAAACGTTTTCATTTGAACTGCGATAAATTGTTCTTGTTCCAAAAATCTTCATAGGATACAAATTTGGGGAAATTTATACATAAAAATGTACCCAAAAGATAAGTTAATGTTTGAATTCTACAGATTTTTATAGCTTGCTCCATCAGCTTCATATTTCTCATACGTGTCAAACCCGTCTAGGCAACCGATATGCTCAGCTGCAGCTCATAAATATGCATTTCAAGTGCAGCTTTAACTGCAACTGCTTCGTAGACGTCGACGCCGAAGTCGACGGAATTCAAATGCGGCGCACGTCGTTTGGGTCGTTAAAAATCGAACACGCACTCAATCGAACAATCGAACTATCGAGTCACATTGATCTATGGGTGGACTGACTTGGCTTGGGCGTACAATATGATTTACGATTGAGCCATGAGGAATGAGGAATGTCACGATTTAATAGGCTTATCGGAGCTGTATTTCCAATTCGATTGCCAGTTCTCCAATTCCTGCGTTGGCTGCACTGCGTGCGGTCTAATTATTTTATTACTAACTTGTCACGCAGTTCTCTGTGGAAATGGGGTGTGGTCCGCCCGCCCCGCTACCCACAGAGATTCTAAAATATATATTTCAATTCGGTAATTTTCTAATTAAAATTTCAAACTCAACCCAACGCACAATCAGCATTAAAAATCAGACGCAAGTGTTTTGATTTATTGGAAAAATATAAAAATGAAATATAAATATGTGTGGCATTTAAACCCTTGGTGCCCCACCATACCGCAGGGGGGCCGGCAGAGCAGCGCTTCACCTGTCTAACACTTGCATTTTAACGACTCGCTGCATGCCCCCAGCTGAAACGGCTGAAGGTGCGACGCAGCCAAATGTCACAAACTTTACGGCCAGTTTGAAGGGCAAACGAAAATCATTTAACTTTGATTTCGAATTTCTGATTTATTCCCCCAATGTTGCCAAAGCGCAGGCGCTTGCAACATAAATTTTCCTTAACAGCTACTCTGATATGAACTGTAAAAACTCACCATAATTTTTAATTGTACCAATTTATGGCCTAACTGGGACTCGACTCAGTCTGCGACCGGAGCGTCGTTGCCGCAACTGCCACAGATGATGCAGTGCCCCATCCCGTTGACGGCGTTAGCGGTTCTTTTGTCCACCGCACTATCCGGTTGACCATTTTACAACCGATTTATAGTTGATGACCACTGCAGATAAATAGCTTTCGTTCCCAGGGCCGTGCTATTAAAATCAAATAAAATCAATGTTGTTTTTAAATTCGGCATTTTAATGAATAGTCCAGCATCATAAATCAGTAATGTATATGGGCTGTAGCTCTGCCCACGTCCACCTGGCCCCAAGTCTGCGGCATTGTTCGATTTTCAATCAAATTTTGTTGTAATGATGCATTTATAAAAATATAAAAATGTTTGTTTCTTTATGCTCTCAGCGCGATATTTAAATTAATTTTACTGTCCAGCATTCAAATTCGAACTGGAAAATCAGCATGAAAATACAACATGACTTTTGGTCTCATTTATGGGTTGCATCTATTGCTTAACAGAAATTAATAAGCCTTTATTTGATTTTTTTGAACCTTCTAGATTGTATAAAACAAGCTCAACAAGCTCAACGCGAAGAAAACTTAAAATTCTATTCAATATCTAAAATAAAATTGTTGACTAACTACTGTTCTGTTGACTAACTACCTATTCCCTTTACACAAATGTCTGTTCATTTAGTTAAGATGACTTCCGTGTCGCATAGTCTACATCGCTAGTTCCACTTAAGTTTGGGCTTTCAGCTAATTGTGTCAGAACTTGGGTATAAAAACACTTTTGCAGCCGTCCACGTTAGCAGATTTAAAATGCGGCTGGGTAAGTCTAGAAGGAATAGTTCGCCTGCCATCAAAAACTCTTTAACATTTAATACTTTTAGTTGTTATTTTATGGATTGCTCTGCTGGGCTTATCGCAGGCATACGCTCCGGACATATGCGCAAAACAGTCTTTTGGATATAAAGCTGTCGATTCACATGACTCTAAATCATATTTTCTGTGCCTAGGACTACTTGGCAAAATATGGAGCCATTGTGATGACGGTTTTCGCTTTAATGAATCGGAACAGAAATGTATTCTAGAGAAACAGTCAAGAGCAGGGAATCAAAATTCTGGAGGTCCAAATAATGTGTTCAACATTAACCAGAACATTACCATGCACAAGCCACTTATCTTTAATATCTTTGGTCCATTGTGGAAACCGTCAAACCCTGCACCTCCACTACTACCAGCACCTACAACAACCGAAGAACCTGTCACTATTTCTCCAGGCAATAACATTTAAGCAATTATCAATCATGTTAGTAATCAACTCACTATTTACAGGGCCAGAGTATAGCTCTACTACATCGATTAATACAGCGAGTTCTCCTTCTTCAACAACTGATAGCTCTACAGAGGGTTCTTCATCATCGTTCTCGGATAGCTTTACAGAAAGTTCTACTCCATCTACGGATAGCACCTCAGAGAGCTCTTCTGCATCAACGGATAGTACATCGGAGAGTTCTTCCTCAACAACGGAGAGCTCTACAGAAAGTTCTTCTTCTTTGGCAACGGATAGCACCACCGAAAGCTCTTCTTCTACATCCACGGATAGCTCTTCAGAAATTTCTTCTTCTTTGGCAACGGATAGCACCACAGAGAGCTCTTCTTCTACATCCATGGATAGCACCACAGAAAGCTCTTCTTCTACAGCCACGGAAAGTTCTACAGACAGTTCTTTTTCCACAACGGACAGCACCACAGAGAGTTCTATTACTACTACTTTATGTACTCAAACTACACCAATCGTAGTTTAAGTTCCTTATAACCGAAACCAACTACTACACTAGTTTGAGTTATATGTAGCGCTTTGGATACTCTAATAACCATATTCGATTTAATTGACAAGAAAACATAAAAACGCCTTACAATACACCCCAGAACAATCTCTATATATACAACTTTTTAAGAGCTACGAAATCATTTTAATATATAAATGTAACATGTATATCCTAAGCACAAAACATACCACGGGCAAGGCCGGGGTATATCCACTAGTCTTTTAATATGTTTGTTGATTTAATGTTAAGCATACCATTTCATACGGTTCAGAGTTCATCCCACTTCCCACTTTTTCATTTATTTCAACTTTGCATTGGTTATGTGCAGGCTCCACATCTCTTTGCCGTTCTGGTGGTGTTTTAGATAAAAGAGAGACTGTTTTGCAAAACAAGAAAAAACGAGGCAAGCAACAAAAGCCAACAGCATATATGTAGACACATTCATGCTCACATAGGTATGCGACCCCAACTCCCCTGTTCCATATAAATATCAAACGGGGGCTCATATTTCAATTTCGATTTTTGAAAACGATGTGCGAGCTAAACACAAACAAACAAACGACAAAGCAAGAAAGCAAACAAACAGCCGAGCAGAAAATACATTGAATGCGTTTATGCTATATGGAGATATACTCTTTATATTGACCACATATAAATGTGAATACCGAGTGTCAATCGGAATGGACAAAAGGGATATCTCTGATGTTAGTTAATGTTCAAGAAAAAGGGGTGGATGGAAAAACTGAAATTCTAGCCATATATGTTAGCTGTGGATTAGTTTAGATTTTAAAAATAATTACTATCTTCAATATTATAAAAACTGTACTAAAGTTAATAAAATATTTATAGTCCCAAATAAAAGAAACTTATGACTTTTTCTTCAGTACAGGGTATCTTTTGGTTGAGCACTCGCTTCTATAGTTCCTTTTTTTGTTGTTTATGTATCCCAGAGTGTGCGCGTATCTATGCATTGGACATGGGTCTGTGCTTGGGTCCGGATCTGTTGCTGTTATGGGTTGTGCCTGTCGTTCACATAAATGCAACGAAACTTTTGCCCTTGCACATTTGATGCCAATTCCGATGCGTTGCTGTTGCTGCTGTTGCAGCCAGTGAAAATGTCCAAAAATGAGGCACAAACATGCGCATGAATTTTGCAAAGGCAACGGCAAAAACCAACAACAGCAGCAGCAGCGGCTGCGGCTGCCGCACTAACAAGTTGGCACTGCCAGGAAATGCAGCGCAAATAAATGAGGCAGTTGGAACTGTCCCTGGACCTTTTGGACATGTCCACCAATATTTTAGCCATTTGTAATTTTATACTTATTTTTGCAAAGCGTTAACAGTTGACCGCAGTTCCTCCGGGCTGACCCCCGCCTGACAAGCGCTTGCATTTTAGATTTGCCGCATTGGAAATTCTATATGCAACATGTGCGTTTCGGCCTGCCCCAGAAATTGGTAGCACGAGTCTTGCAGCTGTCGCTGGCCTGGGGCACAATGTTTGGCCACCACCTTAATAAGCCCATGAGCGAGACCCGAGCACCTTTCTGACTAATTGCGAGGCGATAGTTGGGCGCTACTTTCGCGCCTAGCGTCCCCCTCAGGGCGCAGACGGGCGGCTATTTGCATAAACATGCAAACGTGGCCAACTTCCGTCTCAAGGCCAACTGTGAAATGAACTAAAAAAAAACTACAAAATAACAAATACTAATACGAAACTACGAAAATTCAATTAGCAGTCGGCTAGAGATCAACATGAAAAGGGCGTGGCCCGCCGCTAAATCTAACAAACGACGCAACCGGAACAAAAATTTCGCTTGAAACGAAAGAACTCGAAAAGTTAAAGTCTTTGGTCGGTTAAATGTAGTTTATGAGGTGGCAATGCTGCGTCTGAGTTATGCTAACCTCCTGCAGCGTGGCCACATATCGAACTTGAACTTGGGCCAAGAAAAAACTACCTACCGCATTTTGTGCCCAGCAAAGCTACCCAAAATGGTTGACGATGTCTTCGACGGCGGCGGCGGCGTCTCGCAAGTGGCGTTTTGTCAAATATTTTTGTTCGAGCAGCCAGTCTTAGCCTTGTTCTGCTTCTTCAGAAACTCTTCACGACTTTTATTTAATGAATTTCGCAAATTTTTGAGGCAGCATCTCACGCATGCGAAAGGCGCGGAGTTCAGCAAGTTTTGCGACTTTTGCGACTGCAACTTGTCTCCACATACACGATGTGCAAATAATTGTCTCAATTCCGCGGATTCCATGATCTGCAAGTCGGAAAAAATAAAAATAAAATTTGCTCACTGAATGAGTGGCCGTCGCCGTCGCCATGGCCATGGCCATCGGTCCGGGGCACCTGCAAGAGATTATCGCGCTGAATGTTTAGGAACTCATGGCGCATAGTCTCGGGAACTGCAACAGCTACTGCTTAGAGGGCATTAAATGCGAAATATTTGATCGGAAATGCTCAGATAGCATATAATGTGAGAGAACATGAATATCAATGGCAGAGAAGCGGAAACTACTTCTAAACAAAACCATGTGGAAAACCAGATCCAAGATTTGAACATTTTTACGGGCCAATAACCACCAAATATTTTGAAGGGCCCAAGTCCGTATGCCACTTAAAAATTGGTTTAGTTCTGATCAACTGTTACAGGTGTGAGAAGTCTAGCAGTTGCAATTACCATGAGCATTGCATTTTGTGCTGAACATTTTCACGAGGTACGTAAACTGCCACAGCCGGCAAATCGGCCATTTGGGCGCGTCTTGCAACGTTTTGTTCTTGGCAATGAATTGCCAAACGCAGATGACAATGAGCATCGGGCCGGCTAAGTTGGCCCTGAACGACAGCAGACAACCGTAGCGTTTCCGAGTCGAATGGCCTTTTGTACTCGAATAACAGAAACAAAAACAAAAACAAAAAAATAAAGAAGAAACAATCGTCAGTCAATTGCTAAACGATTTGGGGTATGCGCGACAGGTATGCCTATGAAATCCGGCTGGGGTTGCAGAGCTGAAGCTGAAGCTGCAGCCGCAGCTTGAATTTCAGTTCCTCGGTTCTGCTAAGAGCTGGCGACAATTTTGCAATTGTCTGCGCTAACAGCAACAACAACAGCAGCAAGAACGACAACGACAACGATGGAGGTCGTCGCATTGCTGGCATAGCCGACAATGAAAAGCGCCGCAAATTGCAACTTGCATACAAAAATCTGTTTTGGGTCTTGATAATTGCCATTCAATGGAGTTGGTTTCTGGATAGCTGCCGAGCACTACTTAGTTGGAGGTTACACTCATTTAATTGTTGTCGCTACTGTTTACTTGCTTGTTTCCACCTTGAACCTGACTCTGGCTCTCAGCTCTCAGCTCTCAGCTCTGAGCTGTGAGCCCTGTGCGTGGGCAGCTTCAATTACTCGCTGTTACAGGCCCACCCGCTGTTGCTGCGTCTCATGCTTCAGTGAGTTGTAAGTCCAAAAAAAAAAAAAAACGAAAAACTAATTAATAAATTAATTATGCCATTACAATAATACACACAAAACTCACATACACCGACACACACACACACTGTGGGAGAGACAGCCCAGGGTAGGGACTCACGCACTCTAATTATGAATATTTTCATGCTGAAATATGCATACACGTGTTGTTGTTACTGCTGCTGTTGTTGTTGTTGTTGTTTGTTTGTTTGTTGTTGCCACGGGAGTTGACTTAATTAGCCACCCAGTGAGGCACTGCAGCACTTGTGCGAGACTCGCCCTGACTCTGCCCCTGTCGGAGTCGGATTTGAGTTGCGACTACTGATATGTGCAGCAGGTTGCCCCCATGACATGAACTTTAGCCGAGCTGCTTTTTGGCAGCTAATTAGTTAAATTTGAATACATGATTACCGCATATATACAGATACATATATGTTTATTTGAAACGTAGCTAATTTAATGGATACTTACCGAACACATTCTTGATTTGCTGCCTTGGAAGTGAATGCACTCAAGCATATGTCTGGAAATATGTATTATGTGCGATAGAGATAGTGCGCATTTGATTTGAATTTTATTTCCATGTTAACAGTTCTATTATCCTTGTGGCTGTATCTGCTGTCCAGCTAGAATCCGCAGTCGCCGTCGCCGTCGCCGTCGCCGCAGACCGAAAGCCGATGATAAATCGCGCCATTTACGTGTGTGCGCCCAGGTAAATATATCAGCTAGGCAAGGTCATAAATATTAATTGTGTTTTCGGGGCCTGGTCTGGGGCTGGGGCTGAGACTGGCGCTGTTGCTGAAGCTGAGACTGAGGTTCAGTTCAGGAACTGGAACTGCCTTTAATTTTGCATGTCTCGCCTGCTATGTTTGCCTGTGGCGAGCGTTTTTGTTGTTCCTTGCATTTTGTTGTCGGTTGTTGCCATTATCAATCGATCGAACGCGAGCTGCATTTGCTTAGTGGCCAGCCGAAACTCCAGCTCGAATCAATAACAACAACAACAAGAACAGCAACTTGCCAATATTGTTAATAAATATTCCAGATTGCAGTCGTACAGTGTGTTCTACGAGCATGTGCTAGATGCTCAGCTGATACCCTGTATGAGTTGATATGGGAAATAGGAATTGTAATGATTTGCCAGAATATAAATCTAAATATACTTTAAATTAAATTACATAGCAAATATAAAATGTATTCCAAATTAAGTCGAAACGTGTTGTTAAGCTAAGAAGATGTGCTCAAGCCATTCTAATGCCTTGAAGCGATAATTGAAAATAATGATAGATTAACTAAAAACTTAAGGAAACAAAGTTTTTTGTTATTAGTTTAAACAAGCTCAAAATCAATAGAGCACACAAACTTGAAGAAGCTTTGCAATAGAAAATACATTTTGAAGGCAACAGCAGCGCCATCGAGTGCTAGGAATGGAGCAAGTGGCCTGGAGTCAGGAGGCGAGTGGAGCAGAGTCGGGTTGAGTTATTCATAAGCGTGGCGCTGCTGTGATTAATATCCAAGGAATGCAGTTTATTGTTGCGCGACGACGACGACGCAGAGGGCTGGGGCGTGGCAAAAAGAGACACATACCTACGCGAAAATAGAGACAGGGGCTGCAGGAAGGTGGCATACGTGAAGCAGGGGTGAGGCAGGAGGGCAGTTGGCAGAATTGTACGTTCAACTGTGGGCCGCAACGCAAATTTGTGTGCATTATTTTTGGTTGCCGCAAAGCGTTTTTCTCGGCTATTTTAGCTTAGTTATAAATTACCGCGGCCAAAGGCTACGTGTGTGTGTGTGCATGTTAGTGTGTGTGTGTGTCTCGCTTGCATAATCTGTGTGCTGAAATCTTTGGCATCCACTTGCGCATATGCACGGGCAGAGAGTACAGCAAGTGAACCGCTGTGCCCGCCAAATGCAGCTTTGTGCAGCTCCAGACTCAGCACCCAGAATCCAACTCCCAGCCCCGTCTCTAGAACAATAGCCCGGTCGCGCACAATAGAGCCGCGCAGGCAGCGGAGGAACGTAGCTGGAACTGAATGGCCGCCACTCTCATAATAGAGTCATAAAATTTTAGTGCGCCGCTTGGCTAAACCCTCTCCCGAAAGACCCCCCTGTGGCGCCTGGGACAAGAGTATCCGCGTCCACATCCACAAACACAACCACATGCGCGTCGCAAGTCCAAGTTCAAGTCAAAGTCGTTTCGCTTTGTTGGCCATTGTCCCGGCCATTTACTCGGACCATAGAAATATATAATTGTGATTAATTATACGACATAAAAATGTTTTAGATTCAACATTTTGATGCATTTATTAACCGAAAAATCACTTGAAATGAGCGGTTTTTAAACATTATATTGCGCCCCCCGGGAACAATGCTTGAGGAGACCAAAGAGCGAGAGGGGCGGGAAGCTATGGGGCCGTATTTGCTGGTCTGTTGAATGTTTGTCGATGGTCGATGGCCTTTATGTGGCCAGCACAGATCTATTATCAGTTGTAATAAAAGTTTACATACTTTTTTTTGGGCGTTTCTTTAGCTTGGCTAAGCGCAACAGCAGCTGGGCTTAAAGGCATGCCGGGCACACTTTTGCCTATCATCATGAATAGTTTGAATATGTTGAATTATTTTTAATAGACATACGTAAACAAGTAGTTGAGTAAATTATGATCGTATCGTTTTGTGGATAAAATGCAGACTTCTTATATTTGTGCTCTTTAGAGTACTTAATTGAGTTCATGGCCCATTGGCTGACTATCTCTGGCTGTTTGGCTCCTCAACTGTCGAGGACAATAGCGCACTTGGAGCAGCCGCTTCGTTATCACACAACATGCCAGCACATGGGAATTGTTGGGCCGCCAGCTGAAGATGCCGCCTAAAACAATGAATGGGGACAGCAACCACAACAATTCAGCGACTGCAACTGCGTCTGTGGCTGCGGCTATGTTGTAGCATTTCATGCCCATCAAATGCATTGACATTGAACAATTGCGCGTAATGTTGTCGTACACTTGACAAGCGCGCAAATTGTAGTGCTACCTGTGCCAGGTACCAGATACCTGGTACTACAGCTAGCAGGCAGTTACCAGGTAACTGCCGACTCTGTTAGCCTGTTGACTGGCCAAAGCGAAAGCTCGAATCTCGATCACCGCTCTATGCGTCTAGCCGTATTAAAAAATAGCAACAAAAAAGAACATCTAACTTCGGCTTGACGCATTTTCGATACTCTTACAGACCTGACTCTTAAATCCATATGGCTAGTCAACCTATTGAACTTGGAGCAATGCAGTGGGATATTATATTTGACCAAGGCGAAATATACATATGATTACACCAACTATTTTTACTTATAGATAGTTGGTAGAGCCAAAAATATGATTTCCAACTTTTTGACAAATTCACAGTGTCCTGTGTAAGTGTATCAAATCAACAAGTTGGGACAGAATTTGATTGAAATTGGCAGAGTTGTCTGTCTCAGAGTTGTCTGTCGTTGATTGTCGGACTATGTTGCGGGGCCTAATGAAGCGACGACATTTGCCGCAAAAACCTGGACATGGCACAAACGAATCGGACATGTCAGCTCGGCATTGGCCATTTGCCAAATATGCAGCGACAACTAACCGCTAAATGCTATCCAGATTAATAAGCCCAATGTGTGGGTGATGCTATCATCAATTGAGCATTGAGTTCAGGTCGAAAGATAGCAAAAGTCAAATGTTATTTGGCCATGCGGCCGGGTAACGTTCTTAGCCCGAATATCGTTACGTACCAAACTTGGCCAAGGCAATATTTTTGCAAGCCGTTAAAGATTTGCGCTGCCAACTGTAAAATGCATTTTTGTGCGCCTTAAATGGACCGAGGAAAAAGTAAGCAAAACGCACGATAAAAAGTGGAAACTCCACTGCCACTGTGGATAAATGGGTCTAAATGTGGGTAAACTGGCAAAGCAGCCACAGTCCGGCGACTGCGGACACTGAGAATATATATTTGCAGCGCAGAAACCCAAGTTATGGTTTCTACTATATACACATATTTAGCAGGAATAGCGAGCGACTGAGTATCAGCCAACCTAATTGAGCCTTGAGCTATAAATTTCTAATATGCATCGCAGCCCATGGCTTATAGCAGTCACAGACTATAATAATCATTAACTCTGCGTGAAACTGGAAAATTCTATTGTAATATTTAATATGTAGGCGTAACGTGGTATTTCCTTAAGACAGGGCTGCAAAAAGTTCTCCATATGCCTAGCTTACAAATACCCAATCAGTTCCTGCACGCATAACAACAGTTCCCAACTAGGATCCATAGAGTCAATCTACAACTATAAATATGAATATGAATTCCTTAATGGATATCGTTTGATGGTTCTCAACGTTGTAGCCTTTTGACCTAGACTTAGCAGCTCGACAAGGGATACGCAATTTTATAATTATTATAAACCTTGAACAATGTGGGCCTATCGAGCTCGTGACGAGAATTGGAGACGTATTTACGAATTATTTAAGGACTTTTGGTTCGTGCTCCATCAGAAGACGCATCCGAAACATACATCAACCTTTTACAATCGCATACAGCTCACGTAATACATGCCAAATATAAACAATATAAATGTAGCTAACTTACTTAACACTTTTTGTAGTGTCCTGTGGAACTATCCCGACGAGGAGCTGCGCCGCCTGTCCACGCGTCTGATCTGGCATGCCTTCATTTGGATTCAGATCAACGTCTTTTTTCTCACACTCCTGTTTGCGCTTCCGGAATCGGTGGACAATATAGTCGACTTGGGTCAAGATATTCTATGGATGATTGGGGTTTGTTTTTCTTATTCTCTGATTTTTTCGCAAGCAATCGAAAGCCTTCCATTTGCAGACCTTCCATATGTTATTCAAGTGGCACTTCTTTTACTTTTATATTGATGACATTGATGAGGTTATCAATGATCTGGATGCCTGTCACTGCGAGCCAAAGAGTGGACCGGCGGTGGCAATCATACGCTCCGAACAGCGCTGGTTCTTTTTGATGGAGTCGGCGCAGGGATTGGCTTGGCATGTTGGCATAATACTGTTCTGTGTCTTGGTGGTATTACAGCCACTTTTGACAGGACAGAAGCTGCCATTCCATACAGTTTGTCCTTTTCATTGGCACGATCCATCCCAACATCCCATCTCCCACGTTTGCATTTACATTTGGCAATGTGTCTTTCTATTCTACAATATGGCGTGTATTCTATATACCGACCTATTCTCATCGCACTGCTTCGCACAGCTGGCGGTCAATCTGAAGATCCTGTGCATTGAGCTAAAAACACCTTAGCCAAGGTCTACCACGAGGACGAGCAGCAGTATCGCACTGAACTAGGTCGATTGGTAACATTTCACCAGAGGATAATTGGGTTAGTGTCTGAGTTGAGTAGTATCATTACCATCTAGATACCTCTATTTACAGCTTTGTGGACCGCACCAACGAAGTTTTCTATTCGCCGCTGATAATGCAGATATTAACTGCGTTTTTGATGATCTCCGTGTCTACATTTGAAGCACTTGTGGCCAGACATGAACCCGCTGTGGCAGTTAGATTTGTCATATTTATGGTGCTATCATTTTTTCATCTCTTCTGTTGGTGCCTGTTTGGGGACATGGTAAGCGAACCGTTCAATTGAGAGCCACAATATTACTTGAATAAAATACCAATTGTTACCCAAACTACTAAGAAGTCTGACGTCTAGCTCATTCTCCGCTGCTTAAGGTTAAGGTAATTTCTGCCTGGAAGTCTTAATCGCTGCTCATAAAGCAATCCACGTCACTTGACTGCTCGCGCTGCATCCCCGAGTCGCCCAAGCTCGTGCAGCTGCAGCTATTTAGGATTGCCCACGGTACCAATTGGAGGACGGTTCAGTTTGGTAGCCGGGCCACCAAAACTATTTACGTTTACAAAATTATATTGTACTCTGGCATTTTTATCAATATTTCTCAGTTCGGCTGAAAGAAAGTTTCGCAACGAGGTTGCATTTTATGCATGCGACCCCGTGAGGTCGCCCCGGCATCAGCAGCCGCCGATCCAGCTTCGAGCCAAGTCCAATAACTGTGCTCATAAATTGCAATTGTGTGGAACGTTGGGAGCTTGTAGTACTTACTGGAAGCTGGTTTGGCTGCCCGGCTGACTGGCCGCTTGGTCGCCTGGCCGCCTGTCTGCTCCGTCATTAGCTTGATTGAATCTTATTGTTAGCAATTAACCTTCGCAGCTATAAGGCCAAGTAGCAGCAACAGCGGCAGCAGCAGCATTTCTGTGCCACATCCTGGCAATCATCCATGGGTAATAACTTCATTTGCCACGACGCGTATGACACATGACACAACATGTCATCTGCTTATGCCAAAACTAATTGCCAGCGACAAGTCGCCAGCCTCAATTAATTAGCAAACGCTAACTGCGGACTAGGCTACAGCCAAAGCCAATCCGCAGTTGCATTTGCATGCGCACGAAACGGGGCAGTGTTTGCGGATCGTCTCAGCTGCACAGCCGGAAAAACGGGCACAAACCCAAACATGACGTGCCATGGCAAAAAGTAAAAAGCTCGCATATTGTACACCGAATTTCACTTAGGAGCAGATCAAGGAGCGCCAATCCCCACCAGGCAGCAGACAGCAGACAGCAGACAGCAGACAGCGGCTAGCGGACAACGGACAGTCGACAGCCGACAGTAAACGATGGCTAAGTCGAACAGCAAACGATTTGTCAGACCGCAGCTCTGCAGCTCATTTAAGACTCCACTTCCTACTTACGTTTGAATATTCCTATTCGCATTCGCAATTGCATTTTGCCAGTGTTTACTTACTTAGCACAGTTGCCCACTCCTCCTCTTCTTTCTCTGGGTCCTCCTTCACTTTATCCGCAGCCTCATCCTCTGGCACTTCAACCGCATCGCATGCAGATGCAGCGCCTTTGTCATGACATGACAGCAGCCTAATTCATCATTATGGCTACACGGCGCTGGCTGGCTTTGGAGCTGAATGAGAGTTTTGTCGCGACTTTCGCTAGACGTTTGCATGATGCGGTTTACTCCAATCCCCCTTCCTCAGCCAATGGGTTGTCTGAGCATCTGTGCAGCCGATCTCGTTAGACGGCGTGCCCGTGCCTAGCCCGATTCCATGCTCCATGCTCCTCCAGTGATTCATTCATGCGCAGTAGTTGGATTTTTTGCTTGCATGCAGCTGACAATGATGATAATAATGATGATGCATGTGGCTGCAGTGCGACTAGCATTTCGATCACGGGAGAACCTGGTGAGGGAACTGTATGGGGGCCGTACAAAGTGCACTGTCGATAGCCTGATGATTTGCCTGTCGGCATCAACGAGGACGACGACATTATCGTCAGCTTGCAGTCAGAAGTCAGAGATGTCAGCTGTGAGCTGTAGCTCTTCGCTGTACTTCTTATCCGACATTGTATCTTTCGGTGTGGGCTTGCCGAAACCAATGGAAAGTTATTGAAAGCCTGTAGGCCTGTCAATCTATTGTGTCTTGCTTTCCCAAAACAAACTTCTTGCAACAACTGTATGGCTGCACAGGGTTCGACTTTGATGGCGCAATAAATCAAATGAATTGAGCTGAACTCTTCAAGTAATTAAGCCGCTCTCAAGCTACAGAGAGTTAATTTAATTGGCTTACACAATAAAAGCGATATCAAGACCCCAGAAGGTCACAGAGGTGTAAGGGTCACTTTAAATCAGACAAACGGCTTCACTTTGTTGATAACAATGAAGAATCAACTTTGACATCATAGTTGTTGAAACACACACAAATTAAAATAATAAAATAGGAAATACTTGCCTTATAATAGCCAAATTCCTAATTCTTCGAAAAAGCTAGAGTTTTCTCAACCTTGCCATATATCTTTAGACATGCGCCAATTCCATCGCAAGGAAAAGGTGTCAACTCTTTAGTTTGGAGAACTCCTTAATCATCGTAGCGTATAGCCCAAATGCCATGCACGACTTCATTATGAGGCAGCCGCAAATGAATCATCAACGTCAGCTGGAACCACTCTCGTTGCTGGCAGCTGCACCCGGCACCCAATAGATAGCTCGTGACATGGGACCTAGACTTTAACTAGGTTCGATTGGTCGCCAAACTTCTGATTGGTTTTTCTCTAAGCTTTTGTTTTGGCTGCTCATCAAGCGCGCTGGAAGTGCACGAAAATGTGCCTCAAATTTGTTTGCGAAACCAACTGGCAGACATGGATGGAGCCAATGGAACGTCCATTAAATTCCTGGCCGGTTGTCGCTAATGAAGTCATAAAACCGCATGACATTTTGGCTACCTCCACAGGAAAGCCCCCACGAAAAACAGATCTCACTTTTTTTCGTTTGTTTTTGTGTCAGACGATCCTGTTGTGTTGTGTTTTGTTGTATTGGGGCGCTGTCGTACACACAATTGTCTGGTCCAGAGGATTGTTGTCCAACTCCAGTCCAGTCTGCTCGATCGTTCCAATATGCAAATGGACCTCCGCCCGCTGCCACCCACAGACAGAGCGACGACGTCAACCAGCAATAAGGAGGACTAAGTCAACGACGACGACGGCGACGACTACGATCCATATGTCCATATGTTCATATCGCCCATGCGATCTCTCGCTTTCGATTGGCTTTACGACGTCGTGGCTCCGGAGACACAGACGTGGCTGGAACGGAAGAAGGGGTGCATTGGCCAATCTGGCTGCGCTTTATTTTTCGGCTCAGCTTTATCTTGCCAACTGATTTTTTGTGCATTTCATTTCGGTCGCTTCGTGCTGCAAATATGCAAAAATTGTGGCAATACCAGAGGAGGGTACGGGGCACAGTGAGCTGCTACACGTCCGTGGCACACGTTTCGAGGGCCTTTCGTGTCATAAATGGCATAAATATTCCATCTTGACCGGGCAACCTAAATATTTTCCCTGCACTCTCCTTTTGCCTCGTGTCGTGGGCTGTCATTGATTATGCGCCATAACAGAAAAATTATAACAATGTGCGATGCCAAACTTTCACTTTTTACTGAGCAAATCTGAAAATGAAATTAAATCGTTTTTCATTTTTATGTCTTTCGGTTCGTATGAATGCTGACTTCAGAAGGCCAGATAAAGTTTATGGCAGGTCCGGGATCACACAGGCTGTCGCAAAGCTAAGCTCGTCGAATAAACAAAATAGAATCGAGCTTCACTCGAATGACCCCGTCAAATCTATAATCTGTATATGTGTTTACCATGACAAAGCAAAGGCACAGAAGATGACCGAAAGCTATTATAATAAAATGAATGCATTCAATTTATTAATTGATTATTCATTGCATCAATTTGCTAAATTGTTTTCAAATAAATACAAAGCGATTAAATATATTTTTTTCGCGTTTATTTGTTTTTTTATTTCGTTTTATTATTCCTTTAATGGGCTTCTTTTGTTTATTTTCATGATTTTGTTTTGCTGTGTGCCTAAATTATTTTTGCACAATTTAATGGATTTTCGTGAAAATTATTATTTGTTTGAATTGTTCTTTTTTGTTTTGGATTTTGTGTACAATTTTCCATTTGTCCACATAATTAGTTAGGCTATATGCTAAATTGGAACATTTCGAGTTGCATTTAGTAGTTGAATTTGCGCTTTGCTATTTATTAAACTTGATGTTTGAGTTATTCATTATAAATGCTAGTTAACATTATCATTATTATTGTTATTGTTATGTTGTGAAATGTGCATTTAATGAATAAATATTTAAAATACAATATTGCATTTGTGTGTCTGTGTGTGCTTTTTTTCGCTTCTAAAACTAATAAATGCACAATTGCATTTGTAGTAAGCATAAGATTAAATCGAATTACTAACTGTAAGCTTTAAATTTGATGTAATTTTTATAGTTTTCTTTAACTACTAAATAGTTTGTACATAGCAACATTATGACTTAAATGACTAGTCTTTGGTTGTTGTTGTAAATTGTTGTTGTTGTTGTTGTTGTTGTTGTTGTTGTCGTTAATATTGTATAAACAAAACAAATACTTGAACTTTGAAGAGGAATGTTCTGTTTGTAAGTTGTGCTTAAACAATGCCCTACGTAAATTATTTATTCTTAAGTTGAAGAAACATTTTGCTGCACTTTGCTTTGGAACTAATTGCCAATTGGAGCAAAAATTGCAAATTTGCAAATAAGTACGTATTTATTTACAGCGTATGTACAATGGCGATAGTTGTTTGATTGTTGTTTTAAGTACTTTTCTTGTAGTTTTTGTTGTGGTTTAAGCTTATTTGATATGCATGACATGAATTTTTTATTAACTTTTATTGAATGCAACTTGAAATGTTTAAATGTTCCTGGGTTTATTACGAGTACTTTAACGATTATATTAACTGGGAAATTTTGGGGCAAAACATTTGCCTTTTATAAAGACAAAGCCTAAAGTAAGGCCCACAAAAATGTTTCCAATATTTGCAAAGCTTTCGTTTTGAGCTTAAGTTCTTTTTTCTGTCTTTCGTCGTTTTGCCATGGCAATCTAAACTATTTGCTTTTGTAATTACAAAACAAGAGGAATGAAGTGAAAAGCCACAAAGTTTTGTGCCATTTGCAGCCGAGAACATGCCAGCAAACACAGAGCCATACAAGCAGATACCAGTTAACACACACACACACACACACACACACACACACACATACACATACACGTACAGACACACACACACATCAACTCACTCACATAGACACCCAGAGACAAAAGCTCTAAACGAAAATATCTATTTAGAGCAACAAAAAAACACAAGTTATAACGTTGCCATTGCGTTGAACGACTTATAAATACCCTGTGCCCAAACAAGGCATCATCACAGTAAAGTAAAAAAAAAATATTATTATATAGATAGATACATACACGTAGTTATATTGGCAATTAACTGGCATATATTGTACTCTTAAAGGCCTAGTTCTTCTTCAAGACCAGACAAGTAGGCTGCATAGCCAATGCAACCTTTGTCATACTCTGACATATATATGTATATAGGATATGAAATGGACACACACACGTTCACACATGTATTCACACACTTTAGCAAACGATTTAAACTTGTGGCATCATCGACAGAGTCGGCAGTTGCCATTTGCCAGTTGCAAAAAGCTGGAAACAAAAAGCACGCCCTTTATTTGCTTTAATCTGACAAAATCCCTGTACTAATGCCGAACGGCAATAAAGGATAAAACGTGCAAGGCATGTAAAGAGCATGATGCCACATAACCCGCCATCAGCACCGCTCCCCCTGCACCCATTGATGCCCTCTCTGCCCCAACCATCTTTGTCTGGGTGTCGGTTTTTGGTCTTGTTGGCTGCTTCGATAGTTTGCACAACGGAAGTGGAAGTGACACTAAATTCGTTTCGGTTTTCCCAATTGGAGACACAGACACTGGCACAACACACAAACACATAGACTGACACATACACATACACACTCACCCGTGCTCCACACTGTGGCTGTCAGTCAGACACTGAAGTGAATCCTTAGACGCTTATGGACTGGTTTGCCGGCTCACAGCAAGCAAAAAAAAATATACTTCACAAAATGTTACGTGTAATCCTTTTTATGATCTGCACCAGAATTTGTGCGCCGCATTTTAAGCAGCCAGTGTTGCCACAGCTGCCGCATATAGGTATGTTGCAGCAGCATGTTGCCGTGCAACATGTCACTGCCAGATCCAGCCGCTGCTCAGGCTGCGCCGACGCTGACGCGCCCAGACGCAGCTCTCGGCCGTTTCTCAGCTGGCGACCACCATGGTGCCGGCCTGCGGCCAATGGGCAGTGGCCTCGGTGGGCGCTGGTGATGACGTGACCGACGACATGGAATTGGAATTGGAGCTGCTGTGCAATTGCTGCGGCTGATGATACTCGGGCTCCTCATATGCGGCATCCTCGTCGCAGTCATGCGGGAAATGCGGCGGCGGGGCTGCCTGGTGCTGGTGATGATGATGATGATATGGATGGAAGAAGTGTGGTGGTGCCTGCTGATGTTGCTGCAGCTGCTGTTGGCTTGGCGGCGCGCTGCCTGCCAGCGATGGCGATACGGACAACATTGGCGCAGATGCAGCCGCCAGCGTGGGCGGCATGGGCAACGGCAGTGGCAGCGGCAGCGGTTGCAGACCGCGTATGCTATCCGCCGGGTGCGCCGTATAAATATTACTCCGTCTCAGATGATTGTTGTTGTTGTGGGCGCTGCTGCCGGCATTCGGTGGGCCACCACCGCTGCCGGTGCCCGCTCCATTGCTGTGGGCGCGTTTGTTGCGCGACCACCACTGCACATGTGTGTCTGCAACGAAGGATGGGGTAAAGATGCACAAAATGGTGGCAACAGTTGCAACAACAAACGGTGTGCGCACAGTGGGTCCAAAATGAAAGGACACTGTGCATCAATGTACCTGAAAGTGCTTAGTACTTACCATTGCGATTGTTAGACGACTTTTTGCGCCGACAACGCACCACGGCAATCATGATGATGGCGCCGAGCAGCGCCGACAGCACGGACACAATGATCAACGTCAGAGGCCAGCCCAATTCTGTGGCCTTTTCTGCAGGAGCGGAGCGAGCAATGGAAAGCAGGGTGTTCGGTTAGAGAGTACAATTGAGAAAAATAACATGGACTATTTGTTTGCTTACCTATCGTGCCCTCGAACATGAATGTGCTCTTGGTGGGCATGGCCCAGGAGCATAAATCACATGTGGTTAGGCCATCGCTCAACACGGGCTCATCCACAAAGAAGGGCGGACGGGGTGGTGGGGGCACGAAGCGTCCGTTCCACAGGCCCTGCTCGCTGGCATCGAAGGCCATTGGCGAGCCAAACAAATCGTCATCGTCATCGAAGATGTCAAATGTCACATCCCCAAAGCTGCTCAAATCCTCCGCCGAACTGGCCACCAAGCTCTCAATGCGCGGCGGACTAAATGTGGGCAGGGCGGGCGAAACAGCGGCTGCGGATGCGGATGCGACTTGATTTACAATGTAACTAAGGCGGGCATCGTTGCCTGGCAGGAAGCTGACCATTGTCGCCGTCGTCGTCCTGGCGCTGGAGCTAGAGCTGGAGCTGACGCTGATGTTCGCAATTGATGGCATGCTGGGTGCAGGGTGGCGAGAGGAGTTTTCGGGGATTTACTTGGTTTGCTGCCAATCCTTTGACTGCGCTATTGCCTGTTATCACCGCTGTCTATTGCAGCTGTCTCTTGCACATTTTGAACGGATTTGCGCCAGCTTCGCCGTAGCTCAAAATGGCCTGACCAAACAAAAAATTGAAAGAGAAAGAGAAATATGTTAGTCGGGCCAATTAAAGTCTTAATTGTGCTGTCAATATGAAGGCTTTCACATTTTTCATATCTTTGGGCTAAGCCTAAGCTCAGCTTTCAAACGCCCCGCTATTGCTCGAGCGCTAATCCTTCCCAGCCAATGCTGGGTTTGGATTGGAGGATTGACAACTAGCGTCATGCATCACATGCCACAGCCACGTCAGCAATCGTTTTTCAATGACTGTTTTGTACCTATTTTCAATTTGTTTGCCCCAACTCTGGCCGTGCCCCTAGAAGTATCTCACAAATACGATAGATACACGTGCACTTCTCAATCACCTAACCTCCCACCCCGCAACTTCTGATGCTGATGCTGATGCTGCTGTCGTTGTATCTTTTCAGCTGGAAATTGAATTTTTGAGCAGCACCGGCAGCTCTCTCAACCCAGAGAGCACTCCGCACACAGCTCATAGCTACTCCCCACATCGCACATGGCAAACGCTCCTAACAAGAATTGACAGCTTGACAGTTTGATATCAGTCTGGAAGTCAGCATTAGTTACAGTTGTTGCTACTCTTCTTATTGCTCGACTCGTATTTGCTTTATTAAAAACAACCCGGAGCAAGCACGAAAGTCAGAATTCTCTTTCTATCAGTTGACTAAGCGAACTCAATTTGCGAATCGTTGTGAAACAATAATCATGATAAATTAACACTAATTTGCAAGCGACAAGTGCTGCATTTCTATTTGACTCCAGCCGGGCGAAGCGCAAGTCAGTGGCTTACTTAACTAGGGGTACGAAATGATAACAAGTGTGAAGACCCTGCGGTATTTCATGGCCAGCTGTTAACTACGCTAATTAATAGGTGCAAGCAAGTTAGAATTGCGTGAGATACAGAAAATTGGTGCGGATTGCAAATGTCATGGGAACAGTTCTCCTTTCGATAATAGACTATAGCTATTACAGCTCAACCTTAGCAACAACACAACATTTGTATGTTGGCCAGGTCAAAAGCCGAATTCAACCGAACCAGTTCGAGCACGGTATTCAAATTCATGTTGACCGAACCACAATCTGTGCCAGATGTATAAAAAACAAACATCGTTATACTCGAAACAAACCATATTTCTTCAAATTTGAATAATGTTTAAATAAAAAGCCTTTGAGGGAGACCCTGCCCTTTTATACATTTTAATAATCATATTTGGTCAATTTCAATAAAAAGTAGCCCGCATCATGCACATGAAGACATAAAAGGATTACAATATTTTCGGTAGCCAGAATGTGTAAAACCAGGTTCACAAAACGAACCCAAAGGCAGGGAGTGGGCTCACAGAACAGAGCAGCCAAAATGTTAAATTTGTAGCCCTGACGACTCTACCAGATTCAACTGCACATCATTCAAAGCATTCACATTATTATCAAATTAAAAGTTAGCAAAGCAAAGTTTCGTCACTTGCCATAATGATGCCACCGCCTGTCCCCCTGAAGCCAACGCCTCTGTCTGAGGCAGCACCTGAAAGGCAGCAACCGGTGCCATCCACTAAAACATTCGGCACGTTTCTGGCATTAGCAGTCCGGACATTCACCGGCAGTCGCCGAACTTCAACGCCAAATGAAAAATGCAACTTCAGGTGAGGTCTGGTTACCCCCAAAAAAAAAAAAAACTACCGTTGCACTTGCCACACGCGCCCCACCACGCCTCGTCGCATACATATATTTTTATATAGATAAACGTAACTGTATGGAGAAGTAGTTACATATAGTATGTAGAAGCTGGAAAGTTTTCACGTGGCAAATGGTTAAATAATATTTTTGCCAATGGCTGCAACTGCAACCAAACTCCAAGCCTCACACAAAAGGCCAAATGTGGGTCGGGGTGGTGCAGCCGGTGGCGGAATTGAGTGGAGTAAACGATATTTAGTCATTCTCGAAAATGAGAAAACGTGATGCGCATAAATTGACGCGACCGCGCCGGAGAAAGAAAGAGAATTTCGCTTCACGCAAGCGAATACGAATGCGAATACGAATACGAATACGAATACGAATGTGAATCTTTTTGAATGAATGAACACGCAGACAGCTGAGCCTGAGTGAAGCAGTTGGCGGAGTACCTGGTCTACTCCTTTTTGGCCGTGTGGGTGGCTGTAATTCTTCTTCGTTTTCTACAGCTTTTGTGCGACGTCTTTGACGTCGGCTATTAATAAATTTATTTCGCTGCATGCCTCAAATAAATTGTAAAGTCACGTGATTTTCATTTTATTTTTATTTTTTGATTTGCCTCTGATGGCAGTCGCTGTCGAGTGGATACGGCTGGGCAATGTTGCGACAGCTGTCAGCTGCCAGTTGCCAGTTGCCCCAGCTGCCAGTTGCCAGTTGCCACATGCCGCCAAGTGCGTGGGCGGCGTCCAATGTCCAAAACGTCTTCAGTTTCAATCGTTTTGGCGGATTCGTGCCTCGGGCGGCAACCGGCTGCCTGCCAATGTTTGCCAATTGAATGGAGCCCGCACAACGCCCACCAAAAACAAAAATAATACAATGTAACAGTACATAAGACAATACACAACAAAAACACACACAACACACAACAACAATTCGTTGTGTTGTTGTTGCCAGAAAAGCAATTACACATGTCCTACGATTGCCGCCACGCTGTATGATATTTTGTATTTTGTATTTGTCCTCGTATTTAAATACACACACGTAAATACACGTACATGCGCCCACCCACACACACACGCACTGCTTTTTAATTAGTGCAAATGTTTGAACATTATTTTCGTCTATACATTTATTTCGCATATTTTTATTTGCCCTGTGCGTAAATATAAATGGGGTCATACATATTGAAATTTAATACGATATAAAGCCAAGCGGCGCGTAACACCACACAATATACTTATATTTATTCACACACACGCACATACTCACACCCAAACACACACACGCTTGCGCACACACACAAACCCTCCCACACGCATTCGCCCCGCTCATAAGTATGCCAACATGCCAGAAAATAACTACATAAACACGGGACATTGCCAAATGTTTACAATGCGAGTTGGCTTTTAATTTAATACTGGAATTTACTGGGAATTGCGAAAAAGGCACGTAGATTAAACAATCATAAATACTTTCATTTCAACTAAAGAACTAAGATCATAAAGACTTTGTAAAGTTAATAACAGCCTTATAATATGAAAGGAACAAAAACAGCACATTCAATGTATGAAGCCTTGATATTTCTGATATTAAGCATAATAAGCATGTATAAATTTAATGGACCTAAGGCAAAATAATGCTAGTTATTGGCTAATCTTAGTTGACTATGTAAACTATATTTTCCATAACTTTAATCAAATCTAGGGCAAGTAAAACAACAGAAACTCTTTAGTAACGATAAAGAGATCTGACAAAGGAAAAACAAGTCCATAAATGTGATAACCAAGTTCGATAATATACAGACGATTAGTTTATTCGAATTGAAATGGCCTGTTAACGTGGTCTAAAGCTTGTTTTTATTTTTGGTAAATCGAAACATTGGTTAGCCACAATAACTGAATTAATTTTTCTATTTATGCATTTTCTCACGAGTGCCTTTCGAAAATGAGTGCCATCAGATAATATTACATAATGAAGAGCCAAATTTGCGCCCATAAACAAGAAATTCCAGCCAAGGATGCATTGGCGAATGCCAGAATTGGACAGTACAGGGCAGGACATGAGGACTGACACCCACAATCAAATTTGATTTCACTTGCTGTCAGTTTCTCTGAGCTGTCTGGCATTTTAAAGCATAGACGAAGGATGTTCATGTTTCAGCACAAAACGTGCCTTGAATTTCTTTATTTTTTCGGTACTCAGTTTTGTTGTTTATTTTTTTTTTAGGATCTTTTGGTCTGCGTTCGAGTCATCTACCGAATTCCCAGGGAATGGAAAAAAACAGAAGGCAGCAGAAAGGACAGAAATTGTTGTTGCTGTAGGTTATGGGAGCTTGGTAGCGAGAAGCTGGGGCAGGCCATAATTTGCACTAATAATGAAGCAACTGGGAAATAGAGTCTCGGCCTGTCATGCCTGATGACTGGACCAAAAGCAGAAGTAAAAGGTCCCATCCTCGTCCTCATCCTAGTCCTGGCCTAGTGTAGTAGGTAATGGCAAAGCTTTTGTGCCAAAGTAATTGAGTTAACTAGCAAAAATATAATAGCATTCCATGACATTGAAGCTGGTCAAGAGAGTGAAAGAAAGAGAGAGAGAAAGAGGGGGGGAGGGAGAGAGAGGCAGAAAGAAAGACAAGCAGTCAGACAAGAGCAGGCAACTCCTAAGACAATGACAAACGGGGATAAACTTTCAGATACTCATAGTCTGAGACATACGAATGCATGAAAATTGAAATTTTATTCAAATGCTAAAGCGATAAAGCGGCCAAACTTGACAAAAAATATAGATTTACATTAATTATGAGCGAGACGGATAGAAAGAGTGGGAGAGCAACAGATTCGAAATGAACAAAGAAATGTCTTGGAATTAAATCTAGGAACTGCCTGCCTCAAGAAGTAGTTGTTGCACTGACTCGAGTGGCATTTCAAAAGCAAATTAGTTGATTTGTATGCAGCTGTGCCTGGGCATGAAAAACTAATAGAGTTGTGTAACAAGTTGGGCCCAGTCACCGGAAAAACTGGAAAAAGAAATCGTCTCTGAGGAGGCACTTCGACAACTGATAAACTCGGCGTTTTATTGCCAATTCAAATTCAAATCAATGAAGGGCAAACGAAATTTGGTTATTTATGGTTGTCGCACAGCGAAACTACAGATCGTTCAATCTACAGATCGATCGATCGCTGTTGTTAGTCTTTTAAACATATGCATAACATTGATAAACGAAGCTAATGAAGCAAAAGACACAACCACTTGATCAAGATGGGACTGCAACATGACGGGGCAATAGAAAGGGGCACAAACTGAGGACTAAGATTAGATAAGCTGGCTGAT